AATAAACTAGGACATACAAACTGAAGAAACGTGTTTTCGCTCAAAGAAATATGACATTTTGTCTCCTTTCATCTCCATTACTTAGGTCCTCAATTAATTTTTTTAGGGATCTTATTTTCATTTTAGAGATTTCAATGAAAACACTGTTGTATTAATTTACAATTGATACTAAAATTCATGAACGAGTACATAGGGTTAGATTAGATTACATCAATCCATACATGGTGAAATTGTTGTAGACTAATAATGCAAGGGTTAGATGGATAAATAAATTCATAGCTTCTTACATACTTTGAATCGAGTTGGTATCAGAGGAAGCCAAGCAATATTCCATACCTATTGTGCACTGTGATATGAAGCCAAGCAATATATTACTTGATCATGACATGGTTGCTGCTGTCATATAAAAACGATAAAAATTGAACTTGTATAAATTCTACCAAGCGTTAGGCTAAAAGCTCAAATCATTGAGCTTTCTATATAATTGAGCCTGAATAACTGAATATTTTGATTACCAAAAACAAAGAATAACTAAATATTTCTGAAAAAGACATGAACCCCACTCTTTGGCACCTTGTTCTGCCTTCATATATTGGCACTGCAACAAATTATTCAATGATTTCAAGTTCTAAATCGGAAAGGAAAAAACAAACGAAAAACAATTTGAAGTTGGAAGGAACTTCTCTGTTTTCGGTGCTCGTGGTCATGGAGAGAAGTTGTTTCCTCTTGTCAATCACCTTCTTGCTGGTGCTGCAGCTGCAGTACAGTTCTCTAGGCACAGTAGGTGCAGCACAAACCAACATCACCACGGACCAGTCTGCTCTTCTTGCTCTGAAAGCCCATGTCACTAGTGACCCTCACAACATCTTGGTCAATTGGTCAACGACCACCTCCGTTTGCAATTGGGCTGGCGTTGTTTGTGGTGCTCGTCACCTCAGAGTAGCATCATTGAATCTCTCGTACATGGATCTCACAGGCACAATTCCACCATACTTAGGCAACCTCTCATTTCTTGTTGAGCTGGACTTGAGAAACAACAGTTTTCATGACACCCTGCCCCATGAATTGTCTTATTTACGTCGCTTGAAGTTTATTGGCTTAAGATTCAATAATTTTATGGGATCCATTCCATTGTGGTTTGGGTCCTTCCCCAAACTTCAAAGATTGGATTTGTATGGCAATCAGTTTTCAGGTACCATACCTTCGACTATCTTCAACTTGTCTACATTGCAAGACATAAATCTAAGCTATAACAAACTATCAGGTATGTATGTGTCAACAAGGTATCTAGACTCTATTGTTGATCTATCATTATGTTTCAACATCTTGTTATTAATCTATAAGCCTAATTTTTTCTTACTTGCAGGTCATCCAATACTCAAAAACTCTCACTTAAATAGATTATGTATTTGGTTTTTAAATTTAAGAATGGTTGAGTCTATAATGTTGTTTTTTATTTTTATTTTTTTGTATAAAGTTTTTACAAAACTTACATTTATGAAACTAGTGAGTACATGTTATAGGCTACAAATGATAAGACATAGATGATAGATTGTAAATAATTGGGAATATTTGTGACCTTTTTCACATGGAGGCCCATTATAACATAATATTTTATAAATATAAAAAACAACCTTCAAATCTAATACTATAGAAAAATTCTTTATTGTACCTTCAAGTGAAAAAATTGTAACATACTAATAAACCAATTAGAAAGTACTAAGTGACTAGTTGAGAGTTCTTTTTTTTCCTCCAAAATAGCCACTCTGACAGCTTTTCTATAAATTATGTAGTGTGGTGTTTTTCTAATTTCATTTATTTACATGTATTCTGAGTCTTTGTTTGACATACTTAACAGGTGCGATACCCAGACAAATAGGGAACTTAACAATGTTGAAGACGATATACCTTGACTTCAACAATTTCAATGGTATATATATTTGTTGCATTGCCTTGATGTGATACAGTTATATATGACTTTGCTTTTGTTGCACTGCATTATATGTGCATAAAACATGAATTTAACATATAAATGTGCATATATCTTAATGATTTTTCAGAAATTCCAAAAGAGATCGGCTTTTTACATCAACTGAAGAAGTTGTATGTGCAGTTGAATGCCCTAAAAGGCCCTGTTCATGTGGCTGTTTTCAACATGTCTTCTTTGACTACGTTGACTCTATATGAAAACAACTTGAGTGGTGGTCTTCCGGACAATATATGCCAAAATCTTCCTAGTCTTCAAATCTTGAATTTGGGTGGCAACCAGTTTGATGGTCCACTTCCATCCAAATTATGGCAATGCAAAGAGCTTCTTGTACTTAATTTGGAGGAAAACAATTTTAGTGGAAGCATACCAAAGAATATTGGGAACTTAACAATGATGAAGGAGATACACCTTAGCCAGAACACTTTGACAGGTAATTGATATTTCATTATGTTGATCCAATTATGATTTATCTTTTTTATTTTGGTTGCATAATTTATCATTATTTAACTATTTCATATTTTAGTAAATGAGGGAGATAGTTAATCATTAATATAACATTATTATTTTTTTGCTTGTTGTTAAAATCGCTGGAAAATTCATTAGAATCGAATAGCAAGGTTTACAATCATGAATATAACATATTGACTTGCCTAATAAACGCTCTATCTAAGTCAATATGTTCAAATCTGAGGTTAACCAACATAATGCAACCTCAAACGTGTTTTGTTTCAAAAGACAAATCTATTTAGGACTTTTATTTTATTTTTAGAGATTTCTGTTTAAAAATTGTTGTATTAATTAATATTATGATGTGACATTTTATACTAAAAGTCATGAACGATTAGATAGGGTTAGATTAGGTTACATAAATCCATATATAGTGAAATTGTTGTAGATAGGATTGTGACATTGTGGCACTGGCAGGCACTATTCCATGGTCCTCAATATTCAATATCTCCACCATCAGAGAACTGTCGCTTGCTACGAATCAGCTATCGGGTAGCCTCCCAGCAAACATAGGTCTTGGGCTTCCAAACCTAAAAATCCTCTATATAGGAGACAATGACCTCAGCGGAGTAATCCCTAACCTATCCAATGCTTCCATGCTCACGGAGCTTGATTTGGCGCGAAACTCATTTACAGGGTTTATTCCTAGCACGCTATGTGCCTTAACAAACCTTCAGCGGCTTAACTTAGCCTCAAATAATTTGACGATTGATACTTCCACTATCTCTTGTTTGGTTAATCTTGGAAATTTGACATTTTTAGCCTTGTCAGCTAATCCGTTAAATGCGAGACTTGATGATTCCTTTCGGAATTTCTCTACATCATCGCTTCAATATCTTTCTTTATTCAATTGCAACATGAGGGGTAACATTCCCATTGGTATTGGCAACTTGAGCAGCTTGGTAATGTTATCCATGGGAGGCAATCAATTGAGTGGATCAATTCCAACTTCACTGAGAAGACTAGGGAATCTCCAAGGTTTGTTCTTGGATGATAACAAGTTGCGAGGGTACATCCCATATCAACTATGTCAATTAGATAACCTAGCTTACTTAGATTTGAGGGTTGTGACAAAGGTAGATTTATCAAATAACAATTTATCTGGTATCCTTCCAAGAACTATTGGGGGTCTTCGGGATTTGGTTAATCTATCCTTGGCAAATAATAATTTGGAAGGCCCTATTCCAAGTTCATTTGACGGGTTGCTAAGCCTGCAACTCTTGGATTTGTCCATAAACAATCTGTCTGGAGTGATTCCCAAGTCTTTAGAAGCTCTGTCACTTCTCAAGTATATGGATTTGTCTTTCAACAGGCTCCAAGGAGAAATTCCAACTGGTGGACCGTTCCAAAACTTCTCCGCTCAATCATTTGTCTCAAACAAAGCACTCTGTGGTGCAGCCCGACTTCAGGTTCCACCATGCAAAAATGGTACACTTGAACCAAATTGGAGGAAAGCTAAATATATCATCCCAGGGATCATATCAGTAATTCTCTTTGTGGCCTCTATATCTATCTTTGTACTATGCAGGAAAAGGAATGTGGAAGTTGCAAAAGAGGCTACCTCGTTGCCTCAACTTCTTTGGAGAAGAGTTTCACATCTAGAACTTCTAAGGGGCACAAATGGATTTAATGAAAACAACCTACTTGGAAGTGGGGGTTTTGGTTCAGTATATAAAGGGACACTTTCAGATGGAATAGATGTTGCAGTAAAGGTTTTTAGTTTACAGCTAGAAGGGGCTTTCAAGAGTTTTGATAAGGAATGTGAAATGCTAAGCAATATTCGTCATCGAAACCTTATCAAAATCATCAGTTGTTGCAGTGAAATTGATTTCAAAGCCTTGGTACTCAAATACATGCCTAATGGGAGCCTCGAGAAGTGGTTGTACTCTCAAAATTCTTTGAATATCTTACAGAGGTTGAACATAATGATAGATGCTGCATCTGCACTGGAATACCTACACCATGGTTATTCAATACCTATTGTGCA